CCTAGTGCGATAGTGTACCGTGTGCGGTACAGTGTCATAGTGTACCTATTGCGATAGTGTACCGTGTGCGGTACAGTATCAAAGTCTACGAAGTGTGAAGTGCGATAGTGTACCGTGTTCCATACAGTATCATAGTCTACCTAGTGCGATAGTGTTCCGTGTGCGGTACAGTATCATAGTCTACCTATTGCGATATTGTACCGTGTGCGGTACAGTGTCATAGTCTACCTAGTGSGATAGTGTACGGTGATACTGTACCGCACACGGTACAGTATCGCAATAGGTAGACTATCACACRTATSAAGTTTCGATCGAGTGTTTTGAAGGGTGTATTGAAAGTGTATTAAGTTTGGATCGAGTGTATGGAAGGCGTATCAAATTTGGATCGAGTGTATCGAAGGCGTATCAAGTTTGTATCAAGTGTATGGAAGGCGTATCAAGTTTTTATCGAGTGTATAGAAGGGGTATGAAGTTTGGATCGAGTGTATCGAAGGCGTATCAAGTTTGGATCGAGTGTATTGAAGGCGTATCAAGTTTGGATCGAGTGTATTGAAGGCGTATCAAGTTTGGATCGAGTGTGTTGAAGGCGTATCAAGTTTGTATCGAGAGTGTTGAAGGCGTATTAAGTTTGGATCGAGTGTATTGATGGCGTATCAAGTTTGGATCGAGTGTAGTGAATGGTGGGTATCAAGTTTGGATCGATTGTATGGAAGGCGTATCAAGTTTGAATCGAGTGTATGGAATGCGTATCAAATTTGGATCGAGTGTATGGAAGCCCTATCAAGTTCGGATCGAGTGTATGGAAGCCGTATCAAATTTGGATCAAGTGTAATGTGATGTATCAAGTTTTGATCGAGTGTATTGAAGGGGTTTCAAGTTTGGATCGAGTGTATGGAAGGCGTATCAAGTTTGGATCGAGTTTATGGAATGTGTTTCAAGTTTGGATCGAGTTTATGGAATGTGTTTCAAGTTTGGATCGAGTGTATGGAAGGTGTATCAAGTTTGGATCGAGTATATGGAAGGTGTATCAAGTTTGGATCGAGTGTATTGATGACGTATCAAGTTTGGATCGAGTATATTGAAGGGGTATCAAGTTGGGATCGAGTGTATTGAAGGCGTATGAAGTTTGGATCGAGTGTATGGAAGGCGTGTCAAGTTTGGATCGAGTGTATTGGTGGCCTATCAAGTTTGGATCGAGTGTATCGAAGGGTTATCAAGTTTGGATGGAGTGTAGTGGTGGCGTATCAAGTTTGGATCGAGTGTATTGAAGGCGTATCATGTTTGGATTGAGTGTATTGAAGGGATATCAAGTTTGGATCGAGTGTAATGAAGGCGTATCAAATTTGGATCTATTGTATGGAAGGGGTTTCAAGTTTGGATCGAGTGTATTGAAGGGGTTTCAAGTTTGGATCGAGTGTATTGAAGGGGTATCACTAAATGTCGCGCTAAATACAGATCTTTTAGATTAGAGTTTTGCCATGTACTCGAAACTGTCAGTGAGACTTTCTTCTTATCTCAAGTATCTCNTCAAGTTTGGATCGAGTTTATGGAATGTGTTTCAAGTTTGGATCGAGTGTATGGAAGGTGTATCAAGTTTGGATCGAGTATATGGAAGGTGTATCAAGTTTGGATCGAGTGTATTGATGACGTATCAAGTTTGGATCGAGTATATTGAAGGGGTATCAAGTTGGGATCGAGTGTATTGAAGGCGTATGAAGTTTGGATCGAGTGTATGGAAGGCGTGTCAAGTTTGGATCGAGTGTATTGGTGGCCTATCAAGTTTGGATCGAGTGTATCGAAGGGTTATCAAGTTTGGATGGAGTGTAGTGGTGGCGTATCAAGTTTGGATCGAGTGTATTGAAGGCGTATCATGTTTGGATTGAGTGTATTGAAGGGATATCAAGTTTGGATCGAGTGTAATGAAGGCGTATCAAATTTGGATCTATTGTATGGAAGGGGTTTCAAGTTTGGATCGAGTGTATTGAAGGGGTATCACTAAATGTCGCGCTAAATACAGATCTTTTAGATTAGAGTTTTGCCATGTACTCGAAACTGTCAGTGAGACTTTCTTCTTATCTCAAGTATCTCAAGTATAACCCAATGATTGCTCAAATTGATCCCTCGAAACGTAAGTATTCTAACACACTTCAGATATACTTACCTCTTCCTTCAGCAATACTTTTTAGATTAATTCGTAATTTCAAGCTCTGTTTTTTTCTATTTGACCTGAAAGTAAATTCTTGAGCTCAGAAAATAAGGTTTCACTAAGCATTAAATAAAAGGTTTGGCAACAAATTGATGAAAAAATACGCGTTTTTTCTTTATCGAGTTCTGTGCAGTGAATAATAATATAATTTACACGTGAAWATTATTTTACATTTGTCGTCTTTTAATATTTTATATATGATTCAATGGAGGTTTTCTGCAAATTATTGTTATCCCTTGAATAGCTGTTTTATAGGAGAACGAACTGAAGCACGAGAAATTCTCACGTTATACATTACTCGCGTTCGAATGGTTTTTCTGATTACTCTTAATGGCCCTTAATAGAAAAGAGCACATGAGAACAAGAAAAACACAAGGCAACAAAGCAAATCAGAACAGAAATAAAGTCATTACTATTTTAACTTACTGGGAGCGTCGGTTAAGCTTTAGAATACCTTGTCACTTTATAGTGGTACTTGCATGAAAATGGCCTTATTTCAAAACTTCAAGCAATACAAATATATGACTCATTAAAAACAATTGCGGGAAAATATTTGTTTTGGAATTATCCCACATCAGAGAAATTTTGATTCAAAAGATGGAAGAACAAAAGGATGGAGTAAATGACGTCATCTACTCCAAAATTTTTTGCCCAAATTTTTAAGGATTTGTATCAATATCTTCTTAAAATCTGTTGCCGCATGATTATTAGACCCATATGGATAGTTCTATTTCATTTCCAAGTCTTTTCTAATGTTTCCCAATTTTCTTCTAAGTAGCCCTTTTATGGCTATCAAAATTTACTGACACCGCGCGCGATCCGCGGTCACGTAGTGCCTGCAATGATTTCTGGTTGAAACATAAAGCCGTCATAGTGAGCACTGCGGCACCGCGGTGGCTGTCGGTGGCGGTGATTCGTAGGACTTTTTTCATTCTTTAAAAAGGAAATTTCCATGGGGCTTTGCGATGAAGCATACCGACAGAATTTTAATGCTTTCAGAGTGACGGGATATTTCAGTAAGGCCTCCATGTGCGTATTGTGTTTGGTAGCAGCATTTTCATGGTAGACATGAAGCAGTACCCACTCGCGAGGTGTGACCGGCAGACGTCTACGTATCTCAATTGACTAAATGAAAAGTCAGAAAAGTCAAATTATATATTTATATATGCTGGTTTGTGATTATAGCGAGGTTGTTACTTTGGGATCCCTGTGGTTGAGCCCGCACTCAATCTTGTTTGAATACATGTCATGCGCATTTTCGTAATCTTTATCATCGTGTTGCTTGATCGTGTTATTCGTTTATATTACTCTAAATGCTTCTTTGACGGGGAAAGCAGGGATTTTGCCGTATCAATTTGTAAAAGACAATTGAGATTGCTAAAAAATTGGTTTTGAAAGACTCATCGATATACAGAATGGCTCATATGACGGGCGCTAACACGACTCCTTTAGGTAGACTTCACCCGGTGCTGGCGGGCAAACAAAATGTTGAACTGGAAAAACCTGGCTATAAACGACCTTCTGTAGACACTAAAACAGGTTTTTACACTTGTTGATAATGTTACTTTTATGAATGTTTGTTAAAGAATATTGCTGTTTATAATGGACGGGTTATCATGATATTGTCAGATCAATAGTCAATAATAAGACATTTTCAAAAGTTTTGAAAGAGATCCAATATGATCTAGAGATTCTTTTGGTATCAGTCAAGATCAAGTATGTTGGTGCTTGTTTCATGTTCTTTTTATACACATGTGGTGGCCTATATGTATTGATAGGTATTATATGTCCTTTGGCATGTTGTGTGATTTGAGTCTATAATCTTGGACATAATTACTTTTTTTGCTTGGCCATAACAAATACTGTGTGCATCTACTGAAAACAATTCCCCCATGCATTGTGTACATTTACTAACTGAAAAAAATTCACCCTCACTCCTGCATCAATGTTGCAAGCACTTTTTTATGAAGGGACAGCAAATGAAACGACAGCCACACAACACTGTATTGGGGAAGGGGGGCTCACAAGGAAGGTATTGCATAAACATTGTCAGCATTTATCTGAAGATTGTTGGTTTAAAAGATCAAAACAAGTCAGCAGAGTCATTTATAATCTGTCTTGTACATCAAGTCATGCAAGACAAGTTGTATTGTGTAATTTAGCCTGAAGAAAAAATACCCAGTAGGGTTAGAGTGATTTCTTCACTTATTTTTTACCATAAATTTGATTGTTAACATGTTATAACTTTCATGTCCTACTAATCAGGGGATAGAAAAAAGAAAAAGCGAAGTAGATGGGGTACAGAGGATAAAAAAATGGTAATTCCTGGCATGCCAACAACACTGCCACCAAACTTAAATCCAGAACAACAAAAGGCTTATATTTGTAAGTCAATTAAAGAATTATAATCAGGACATATTTTTTGAGTCATGACAAAACTTGACAGAATTTGGGCTTTTTTGAGGTATCAAACAACTGGCAAGATGCCTTTTGTTAAAAGTTGTTGAACTTTTACAGAAGTAAAGTGAATYGAAATTCTGCATTTTAGTTCATTACAAGACATGGTATGTTATGGTATATTTTGTTATRCTATATTTTGTTTTGGTTTTGTGCTTAATTGTTGATATACAAATTAGATTTACTCATGATTAACTCTCTAGCTATCAGAGTGGCTCAYCRRAKTTTARCTGACCACAGATAATTGGCGGCTCATAACAGCCCAAAGCCTGTCTGAGTTTTTGCAACATTGAGTCGGAGATGTAACGAGTTCCATTGTAAATGCATGTCATGTAATGTAAAAGATTGCTGTAAATGTTGGTTTTGTTATCAGATCAGCTGAGAATTGAGGAAATTAGCCGTATGCTAAGAACAGGCGAGCTTGGTATCCCAGAAAATCCAGAAGACAGGTAAACTGTTACTTATTAAYTGTGATTTCTGTGTTACAATATATGCAATACCAAGCATTTATATAAGCATATTCTTATTATTTGTTATCAAACAATGTTATTAAATTAGCATAATGAATTTTTAACTYCAATTTTCTCTGAAATTTGAAGCCTGCATCCAGTGGCACTTCACCAAGCTGTTTTTCTCATCATATTGATTCTATTTTAGAAATAAAAAAAATTACTTCATAACCACTTTAAAACTGCTCGATGGATAAAGTATTATATGGTTGTACTTTTGGTATTATCAGTTAATGTGTATTTATTCTGTAGAACTGTAGAACAACAAGGTGGTATTTTCAGTGATATTACATGTTTTGGTTGAACATTTAATAGAGATGTTGAAAGGCATCATGTATTTTTCAGAAACCATTATGCCATTTTATATGTTTGCTTTTCCATAAACCAAATGATAAACTAAACATAGAAAGTTCCATAGTAGAAGTGATTTTAAATACCTGTGTTACTTGTTCAGATCACCATCTCCAGAGCCCATTTACAATACTGAGGGAAAACGTCTTAACACAAGGGATTTCAGAGTAAGGAAAAGGCTAGAAGAAGAACGTCATGTAAAGATCCAAGAAGCATTAAAGCTAAATCCAGACTTCAAGCCTCCAGCTGATTACAAGTAAATCATTAAATATTATTTGATAGTAAAGTGGTAATATTCTTTCTTTCAAACTTTCTAAAAAGTTATTTGGGGCAGCATTGGTCAAATGAGCTTCCATATTTCATATTTAGACCTCCCATCATTAAAATACAAGATAAAGTTATGATTCCTCAAGATGAAAATCCAGAAGTTAACTTTATTGGCTTATTAATTGGACCAAGGTTAGTGATTTGTGCCCTAAGCACTTAATTAATTGGCATAAAACCTGGAACTTCAGAAAACACTGTTATTGAAGAATATGAACAATAGAGCAGTTTAGATCATGGGCACTGCATGAATGCTGTGATAGTTGCCCTTGGACTGGATGCTCCTCAAAATTTCATTGACGTAGACTATTTAACAATTAGACCTCGAGGTCGAGTGGACTACGAGCTAATAGCCCATGAGGTCGAGTCCGCGAGGCTGAATGGGCTATTAGCTCGTAGTCCACGAG